ATTCCTGAGCTCAGCAATATATACAAATCTACTGTCATTCAGCCATGTTGGCCCAAAATGGGCAGTTTGTTAAAAATGAAGATATCATGTAAGCAATGTCCACTGCATTTTTATTTTCCTATGCTCAGTGGGGCTGGTTCCTGTTCAGCAACAGATATCGACTTTCCAGACGACTTTTACACTAGTAAAGCAGCCCATACATTAATCATTTTTTTTTTTTTCATTCAACCAGCAGATCGAACAAAAAAAAAAAAAGGATCCGATTCCCCTATCCACACATTGGAGTAGATGGCAGAATCACCCCCACTGTGCTATTGTATTCTTCCAGCAGGGTGGCTTTCCCCACCAGGAAGCCAGTTAACTCACTTACAGTGCCTTGAAAAAGTATTCATACCCCTTGAAATTTTCCACATTTTGTCATGTTACAACCAAAAACGTAAATGTATTTTATTGGGATTTGATGCGATAGACCAACACAAAGTAGCACATAATTGTGAAGTGGGAGGAAAATGATAAATAGTTTTCAAAATGCTTTACAAATAAATATCTGAAATGTTTGGCATGCATTTGTGTTCAGCCCCCGAGTCAATACTTTATAGAACCACCTTTTGCTGCAATTACAGCTGCAAGTCTTTTTGGGGATGTCTCTACCAGCTTTGCACATTTAGAGTGAAATTTTTGCCCATTCCTCTGCAAAATAGCTCAAGCTCTGTCAGATTGGATGTCTGTGAACAGCAATTTTCAAGTCTTGTAACAGATTCTCATTTGGATTTAGGTCTGGACATTGACTGGGCCATTTTAACACATGAATATGTTTTGATCAAAACCATTCCATTGTAGCTCTGGCTGTATGTTTAGGATCGTTGTCCTGCTGAAAGGTGAACCTCCGTCCCAGTTTCAAGTCTTTTGAAGATTCTAACAGGTTTTCTTCTAAGATTGCCTTGTATTTGGCTCCATCCATCTTCCCATCAACTCTGACCAGCTTCCCTGTCCCTGCTTAAGAAAAGCATACCCACAACATGATGCTGCCACCACCATGTTTCACAGTGGGGATAGTGTGTTCAGGGTGATGTGCAGTGTTATATTTCCACCACACAAAGCGTTTTACTTTTAGGCCAAAAAGTTAAATTTTGGTTTATCTGACCAGAGCACCTTCTTCCACACGTTTGCTGTGTCCCCTACAGGGTTTCTCACAAACTGAAAACTGGACTTCTTATGGCTTTCTTTCAACAATGGCTTTCTTCTTGCCACTGTAACATAAAGGCCAGCTTTGTGAAGTGCACGACTAATAGTTGTCCTGTGGACAGATTCTCTCACCTGAGCTGTGAATCTCTGCAGCTCCTCCAGAGTTACCATGGGCCTCTTGGCTGCTTCTTTGATGAATTCTCTCCTTGCCCAGCCTGGCAGTTTGTGTGGACAGCCATGTCTTGGTAGGTCTGCAGTTGTGCCATAGTCTTTCCATTTTTGGATGATGCTCTGTGAGATGTTCAAAGCCTGGGATATTTTTTTTATAACCTAACCCTGCTTTAAACTTCTCCACAACTTTATCCCTGACCTGTCTGCTGTGTTCCTTGGCCTTCATGATCCTGTTTGTTCACTAATAAACCTTTGAAGGCTTCACAGAACAGCTGTATGTATACTGAGATTAAATTACACACAGGTGCTCTATTTACCAATTAGGTGACTTTTGAACGCAATTGGTTCCACTAGATTTTAGTTAGGGGTATCAGATTAGAGGGGGCTGAATACAAATGCACGCCACACTTTTCAGATATTTATTTGTAAAAAATGTTAAAACCATCTATCATTTTCCTTCCACTTCACAATTATGTGCCACTTTGTGTTGGTCTATCACATAAAATCCCAATAAAATACATTTACGTTTTTGTCTGTAACATGAAAAAATTTGGAAAATTTTAAGGGGTATAAATACTTTTTCAAGGCACTGCAAGCCCCATGTGTCCTTCAAAGGAAATCCTGCATAGAAATCTTCCTCTCCCTGCCATTTAGACAACGTTGGTACACTTCATTAATTTGAATTGTAATATACAGGGGCCGACTACATCAATTCAAAAAATGCCCTGGAAGTGAAAGCTGTAGCAGCACCTGAATGGTGGGGAGAGCGAACTCTGCTCCTTTTACACAACTCAACAAAGATAAAACATATCTGTAGACTTCACATGCTCTTCAAGTGATATTTGTGGTTTTCACAGGTTAAGAAAACAATCAGGTAGTCTATGGTGCACTATAGACACAGGTCTAAGCAACTCATAGTGGTTGGTCAAGTGGCTGAATGCCAGACATATTCCAGCATTTGTTCACATGACTTCAGCTGAAGGGAGGTGTCAGAGTTGAGCTCTACCTTAGGGACCTTTCACACCACACTGCACAGAAAAACACTGCACCACATCATTAATGTGCATTTAATATACATTTTCATGTTCATTGCATTACGTTTTTATGCATGTGGGTATACATTTTCATACCGTCTGTTGTGAAGTTCCTGGAAGTGTCAAAATACTAATAATATGTTTTTTAAATCTTTACTTTCAGTTGCATTACATTGCGCTCCCATTTGTATTGCATCAAAAGGTGACAGGTTGTATTTTAATGCAACATATTGTAATGCACATGTACACAACATTGTGAAGTGAAACAGCCACATTAAAAACCATAGTGGCCTGTATTGATTGGGTGCAAGAAAAAAAAAAAAAAAAAAAAAACACACCGGTTACTGCATATGTGAATGAACCCTGAATGTTAAAGTAGAACTATAGGCAAAACTTTTTTTTTCATTTTGGATAGAGTAAAGGAGGATTATAACCCCTGGGTATATTTTTTTGGCACCTGTGTCCCATTTCCGAGATTTCCCTTTACTATCTGTCCCATAGCCAAACAAAAAATTAGAGAAAATCCCTGCAAAATAAGGGAATTCCTTGGGGACCCCCAGGTCACCAGAACTAGTGTCCCCATTGGAAGATAGCCACTCTATTACTTTTCTGGGGACAACCCAAAATTTGGGTTTTTTTTTTACTTTCACTTTCAAAAAATAATGGTAAATAGGACCAACAGATAGGGTGAATCTCCTTAACGGGGGGTACAGACAGCAATAGAAACTGACAGGTGTTCTAATCCCTTTCCACTCTATCCAAAAACAAACCAAAAAAAAGTTTTGCCTTTAGTTATACTTTACGCTCAAAAGCCCCTTTAGCTAAAACCACATTGCCCAGTGCTGGCATTAACTTTCACCATCAGTCACATCACCAGACACTGAGGAAAGCAGCATTTTCTTCAGGGTTGGTAAGTACTTCACAGACTGGAACAAACTATATATATAATAAGGCAGAAAGGAAAGGATAAAATGAGTGGTTCACATAGTCTACTTTGAAGCAATACTAAACCCTTAAGTGCTGAAACAAACCATTTACTACTGACAGGAGGTGCTTACCATGATCAGCTTTTATACATTTTATATTAAACTTTTATCCCAAAAGGAAAAAAAAATGCTTGCTGTTATCACATTGCGGGAAAGAAAATCACACGCTTCCCCATCAACACGGTCAGTGTTGATGAGGAAATGTCTTCTGCAGAGCCAAAGTGTTCTGCCGGCGGAGGGACTTCCCTGCTGGCAGAACAAAGTGATTACTGCTAGCGGCTATAGCCGCTGGCAGTAATCACATAAAAAAAAATCCGACAGCCTGGTGGTATCCAAGTCAATCGATAGACTGAATCTCAGCCGGTTTAACAGGGTCTGGCTGAGATTCGATCTATCTATGGCCAGCTTGAATCTGTTATTCTAACACCCTCTCCCCAGACTGACAATGCTGCAGACCAAAGGTGTCTACTTTACTATTTCATCCAGAATGCTGACACCCTAAGACAGGAAGTGGAATTACTTGCTGGATCACCAGGTAAAATAGAGGGATAAAGGGAAAAATGCCTAAAAAAGATGATTGCAGCCACCCAGCTAATGATTGATAACCTGCATTATATTACATTTTTGTTTTTGGGTTTAATACCGCTTTAAGAAGAAAATAAAACTTATATTTGCTCGGAGGCAGTAAAAAAATAAACCTGTTAAAAAGCCAAACGGATCCATATCATTTAAGCACCTTCTAAATATATTTTAGCATTTAGCGTGAACAAAAGCTTGGGGGGAAACAACTGAAAATCTCAATAATATGCAGACCTCATCTCAGCTGAATCAGAGGAGATTTGTCACTGCTTTGTTAATAAACACTTACTGCCTGAAGGACAAAACATACTTCGGTTGTAATAAATCATTTGTACAGCTTGAGTGGTATTAAATAAAAAGCCAAATGAAGTGGCAGGTTTTTACTCAATAAAATGCACTTGTGCCTACCTGCAGCATTCTTCAAACCAGCGTGCAATGTAATCCCACATGTAATAAGGCTCAAAAGAGTTAAACAAAAGGTTGGCTGTTTTAATGAGCTCCGCAGTCCTTTTGTTTTCCCGTAATTTACTGTAACAAACAAATAAAAGGCACTGTCATCATTTTAAGTCACAAATTAAATGCCCAAAAGGAATTGGCACAGAAGGGCAAAAGGAGGAGAAAATAGTTAGGAATGTATAAAACAGGTAAAGGAATATGTAATAACAGTCCCTAATATTCAGCTCTTAGACAAGATGTACCCACGAAAATGTACATATAAAAAGGATCTGATTGTGTCAATGCAATGCGGTCTTAACCACAATACACTGAGAGAGATAGGCAGTTGTCTACAAGGCGAAAATGATTTCCTACTGGCTTCTGTGTATCTGTGTATTTATGACCTTCAAAAACTGCTGTTTATCCTATGTGCTTTAATGTACAATTTTAGCAGAAATTTGCTATATGATAAAGATGCAGACAACACAGTAAATAAGGTAAATAACATGCAAAATGCCAAAATGCAATCATTATATCTGAAAAACATTTAAGGTGGCAAGGTCTCACCATAGATAAGAATTTAACTTTCCAGATAGTAGTGGACAATACAATCTGCGCACAGCACATGTGCTCTCAACTCCTTTTAAGCATAGAGTACCTGGTGATCAAACAAAAACTATATTGCCAAAAGTATTGGGACAGCCCTCCAAATCATTGGATTCAGGTGTTCCAATCACCTCCATGGCCACAGGTGTATAAAATCAAGCACCTAGGCATGCAGACTGCATCTACAAAACATTTGAGAAAGAATGGGTTGCTCTCAGGAGCTCAGTGAATTCAAGCATAGTACCGTGATAGGTTGCCACCTGTGTAATAAGTCCATCCGTGAAATTTCATTGCTACTAAATATTCCACAGTCAACTGTTAGTAGTATTAAAACAAAGTGGAAGCAACTGAGAACAACAGCAACTCAGCCATGAAATGGTAGGCCATGTAAAATGACAGAGCAGGGTCAGAGCATGCTGAAGTGCACAGTGCACAGAAGTCCCCAACTGTATGCAGAGTCAATAGCTAAAGATCTCCAAACTTCATGTGGCCTTCAGATTAGAACAACAGTGCACAGAGAGCTTTATGGAATGGGTTTCCATGGCAGAGCAGCTGCATTCAAGCCTTATATCACCAAGTGCAATGCAAAGCGTCTGATGCCGTGGTGTAAAGCACGCCACCACTGGACTCTACAGCAGTGGAGACATGTTCTCTGGAGTGATGAACCACGCTTTCTTGGCAATCCGATGGACGTGTCTGGGTTTGGTAGTTGCCAGGAGAACGGTACTTACCTGACTGCATTCTGCCAAGTGCAAAGTTTGGTGGAGGGGAGATTATGGTGTGTGGCTGTTTTTCAGGGGTTGGACTTGACCTCAACCCGATAGAACACCTTTGGGATGAATTAGAGTGGAGACTGCGAGCTAGGCCTTCTCGTCCGACATCAGTGCCTGACCTCACAAATACACTTCTGGGAGAATGGTCAAACATTCCCATAGACACTCCCCTAAACCTTGTGGACAGCCTTCCCAGGAGAGTTGAGGCTGTTATAGCTGCAAAGGGCGGGGCCAACTCAATATTGAACCCTACGGACTAAGACTGGGATGCCATTAAAGTTCATGTACGTTTAAAGGTAGGTGCCCCAATATTTTTGACAATATGGTGTATTTAGGGAATTAAAAAGGAACTGAACTCCACAAGCTGTGCCCAAAAGAGTCAGGCAGAGGATAAACAACTAGTCACCAGTATTTTCTGTTCTCTCCCTGCAGCTGATCTATTCCCCATTCCAGACATATCACAACTTGTACTACACTGTAGGTGGCCATCTTGGTAGAGGCAAGGCTTTTCTTTTTCATGTCAGAGCCTCCAGCAAGGAGAACAGTAAGCAGAACAGTACTTACACCACCAAATCTCACCCTGATTCTTGTGAAAGAAGCAGTTAGAGGCAGCAGTGCCTTAGATCTCACAATGCAGATATAAGCTATAGGGCTGTAGGCACAGGAGTACTTAAGCATTCTCATATACCAGAAAGTGTACTGCTATGATTCAGTAGAACAATTAGGACAAAAGGTATTTTTTTTCAGGGGCACAATTAACACTTCGAAATATTCCCTAGAACTTAACAAATCGGTATTTTTTTTAGTTCAGAACCACATTAATTCTAATACAATGGCATCATTAAAGGCCATGACCAGGTAACCATTTACTGTGTGTACCAATCAAACAGCAAAATGGAATATAGATAAAAAAAAAAACATTCTGATTTACACTTAATACCATCTGTATTCAAAGCAAGCAGGCTTGGCAGTATATGAAGTGCAAAGAGAAGATAATAAAGTGTAGGTGTTGAGAGCAGCATGTAAATGGTTGGTTTAAATATGCCCAAAATATAAGAGGAATATGCAATAGTTCAGATGCAAGCTGGATGAAAGAAGGAATGTCATGTCACAATGTTATACTAGCGTTATCTCGAAGGCTCCATTCACACTTGGATTTTATGAAAAGTGCAACAAAGAGCATAGAAAACGTGCCTTTTGCTGTGTGTCTTGGAAACGAGCTGCAGACACGGGTAACAGATGCATGTTTTGCCATACTGCAAATGTACTACAAATGTGAAAAAAGGCACAGTGAAAAAACATGCCATGCTCTGCTCCAAAAAGGGTTTTGGAGTTGCTTTGGGGTGTTTGTCGCACTTAGAACAGCCCATTCAGATGAATGGGCTGCCCTATGCATAACTAGCGGAAATGCTTGAAAAACACACAAAAACCGCAAGTTTCCGCTATGCTCAGGTGAGAACCAAGCCTGAGTCATCTAAATAATTGCCAGTTTATCCCTGCTGCCATGTAGAGATACATTTTCTGCAAATCAATTAGGAAACTGATTTCGAAAAAAGAATAATATAACCTACCTACTTAGCTGTGCAGGGTCCTTACTAAAAGGTGCCTGTGCCTGAAGATCTAATTCTGCTTTGCACTGGGTGTACAACGTTCTGAATACTTCTATTAACACATCTTCCAGAATTGCAGGACCTGACAAAGTACATACATAACTACATAAATAATCAGCTTGACAGGAACAAATACATCACTTAAGATATATAAATCTGCAACATTGATCAGATAAAAGGAGACCACTAGTAGAAGTGAAACAATGCAGAATCAGTTATCCAAAGGTCATTAGCTACCTGCCTGTGTTTAAACAATATTTTCCATACACCAAAAAATGGTTCCATAAACTTGAGCTACGTTCACTGCTAAAAGAAACAAACTAACTTCTGGAAGAAGGAAAGGAAAAAAATCCAAATAAAACATGTGGTATATTCTGCCATTCAACATTTCTACATTATCTGCTGATTGGCCGAAGGCCAAATCCGAAAGACCACCATGTGAACAATAGGAATGATTGTATAATTTGTACCATTTTAGCTATTTAATATTAGAATTCCAATGGCCATGGTTGCTGTATATTCCTGGCACACACTCCAAATACTGTATGGGCACTCTTAGTCTGGCACTATTAAAACTCAGAGCAGCCATAGTATGTGGTTATATAAAACAGAAGGGAAATACCAAGTTCAGGTTTATCCAATAGACTTATTAGGATCCGGAATGGTTTTAAATCTTGCATTAGTGAGTTTTCTCTGCTCGTTTCTTTTCCTTGCAAAATTCCCACCATAGCCTAGAATGAAAAATAAAACAATATTGTGTACACATTTACACAGCTAATATCAGTTACATGTTATAGAGGAAAAGTTCAACAGTCTTACCAGTGTACATGTACTGGTATGAACGTTATCAGGCTGTAATCAGAGGTGCCTGCTTGCAGTCACAACTCTTCTCTAAAGTCACCTCTACATCAGATACTCATATTTCATTTCATAGTATTATTATTATTATACAGTATTTATATAGCGCCAACAGTTTGCGAAGCACTTTACAAAATTAAGGTAGACATTACAGTTACAATACAACTTGGTACAAGAGGAAACAGAGGGCCCTGCTCTTTAGAGCTTACAATCTAGGAGGAAGGGTTGAGTGATACAAAAAGGTAATAGCTGTGGGGGGATGAGCTGATGGAGGAAATAAATGTCAGTTTACTAGTTAGAAGCAGGATAGGCTTCTTTAAAGAGAAAAGTTTTCAGGGATCATCTAAAGGTGGATAGATTAGGAGACAGCCGGACAGATTGGGGTAGGGAGATCCATAGGATGGGAGAAGCTCGGGAGAAGTCCTGGAGGTGAGCATGGGAGGAGGAGACACGGGGACTACAGAGCAGAAGTTCTTGGGAGGATCGAAGAGAGTGGTTTGGTTGATATTTTGAGACCAGGTTGGTGATGTAGCTGGGGGCAGAGTTGTAGATGCCTTTGTAAGTTGTTGTTAGTATTTTGAATTTTATTCGTTGGGCGAGTGGAAGCCAGTGCAGGGATTTCATAGATGGGTCAGCTAGATTTTGACTTCATGGAAGGTAGGGCCAGGAGCTGCCTTTAAAGCTTGCATATCAGATCATCCTGGGTTTAGGGCTCCCAGGCCCCCATTATAGTACAGCTGGAGCTACGTGCAGGTATCTCTGGTTACCTGCTGAATTTGTTAACTGATGTGCTTGTTCCATCTTTCTTATAAATTGAACTCCAGGCCATCAGCTAGACACACAGATGAAATACATATATGTGAGTTGTTTTACCTGTCAAAGAATGTATATTTCTGTCAATACAGTCCTGAGGTTAACACAGCTCTGCTACACAGCACAGTCCTCTCTGGCAGGACAGGAGATCTTACTACAGTTCACTAACACTTTCATGTCTTCTTTACACTCCAAGCATGTTGGATAGTGAAAAGAGGTGCAACAGGATGAAGAGCTCATCTTTTATCAATCAGCATGCTACCTGTGCTGCAGAACTGATTAGCTTCTTGTGCTGCTCCTCCCCACTCTGAGCTCTGCTGTACAGGGACTGCAAGAGGCTGCTATCAAGGATGATACTTAAATTGCATCTAAATTACATTTAAAAGCATCTGTTTTTTTATATCTGTCTGAAGTTCAAATTGAAAAAACCACAATTAGAATAAAAAAATAAAACAAAGTCAAACTATTTACATTGACTTCTAATTAACTGTCAGCTTATGCAATAAAACTTCCTTTCTGCCAAGTTTTGTTTTCCTTTTTCATTAAGTATATCTAAAGCCAATTTTTTTTTTAAATTGTGGATAGAGCAGGGTTGGGTTAATACTGCTGTTTTTTTTTAACCATCTGTGCCTCCTTAGAAATATTTCTCTTCATTTCCTATCCTGTAGACTCAACAGGAAGTGAGAGGAAACATTTCCAATGTGAGGCAAATTCCCTCTCAAATGCCTGTCAAGGGCAAATATGTCCCCACTGGAAGATTTCCTCTGATCGCAACTAATGTACATTTTTTCATTCCAAACAAACAGAAGTGAGGGGGAAATGAGAGGCATGGGAGCTCACAGAGGATGTGTAGAAGACAGAAACAATTCCATGAAAAATAAATTAAAGGACAATAAAGTAGTGGATTTTTTGGCCAAAAAAAAAAAATCGGCCGATTTTTGCACCATTATTGGGTTAATTGGTCGTCCGTTTTTCGGGGTTTTGGCACATTTTTTTTTTATCGGACATGTTGGAAAATTTGTGGCCGATTTTGACAATCGGCCGATTTTCCCAGCAATGATGGGCAAATCGGCCGATCATTTTCCCGTTAAAAAATCTGCGCATGAGCTGTGACCTGCAAGAAGAAGAAGAAGAAAAAGAAGAAGAATAAGAAAAAGAATAAGAAGAATAAGAATTCCAGTCCACTATTATATTTTATATGAAAAGTCTTGCGGTTGCAACAAATGTATCCATTTGAATCCAAATAAAAACATCTGTATCCGAAATGGATACATTGTTGCAAACGCAAGACTTTTCATATAAAATATAATAGTGGACTGGAATTCTTCTTCTACTTCTTTTATTCTTCTTA